TCTCCCTGGAACTGGAGCCCTGAGGCAAATTAGAGGTCCACCGATCACAATCAGACCCCAGGTTCCCTGCAGAGGGAATCTCTTGCCAACATGAGTCTTTCTGTTGTAAACCATATTCTTTTTTTGAGGCTGGGCTGGGTTCCAAGGTGCTTTTCCCCTATTAGAAGTGTTTGGAAGACATTCTGTCTCCACCAACCTTCAATGGCAACTAGCAACAAAGCGTTTATGACAGTGGATCAGCATTCACATGAGTATCCAGCTTGGCTCACATGGTAAGAAAGTGACACAGTCTTCTCTGCCTGCTCTAATCCAACCCAATATTATTAATAAAACACAAAACAAATGAATTTTTAAACATAAACATTTAGTGCAAATACATATATGGCCATTCTGGGCACAGGTGGGTGAAGAAAGCTTTTCTCTTCTGGCTGAGGAGTAGGAAAAGGGCAATGGTTTGAGCAAGCTACCCTGTTACTCCTTCCTGACAGTGCTGAAGTAGCTCAATTCACAAGTACCAGCATTTGAAGGTCTTTTGGGATCAAATGCTTATGGGACCAGGAGGTGGCTAGGACCACTCTTGAAGTTACCAATCTGAAAAGGCTGGGGTAAGCCTTTCATTCCCCTGGCTCCTCCATTTGCCCTTCTTCACTGTGCTCTAAGCTCTGGGGCTGTCCTCTGCGGACAACAAGTTCCCCAGATGCCCTTGTCTTTGGCTTTCAAAAGGGTATGCCTAATAGGAGGCCATATTAGGAACATCCCATATGGGCATCAAGTCCTTGCTGGGTCATGCAAGTCAACTGAGTGTCCCGCTCCCTGTTGAGACTTTGAGACCACAGACTTGATCTTGGAACCTTGTCCTCTAGCTACTCCAACTTCTGCCCATCTTTAACCCACTCTTGTACTGCATTCTATGGGTACTAACAGCCAGTCCTGGGGACTTGCAACCTTCCTCCACTCTAACCCTCCTCTCGCCCAACACTGCCTCTAGTTTCCTAAATACTGTGTTCCAATGCTCCTCAGTGACTCTGCTTGACTGCACCCTCTGCTTCCACCAGCAGCCTGACTGAAAGACACTACAAACATGTCCATTAACCAAGAGCAATGGGCCTCTTGGGGGGGGGGGGAACTGAGGAATCAGGCCCAAAACATGCTGTAATCTCTTGCTGTTGGAGGTTCTGAGATATTCCTGAGCCTGCTGCCTCCCTGGAGAATTCATAAGACCCAGACCTGGCAGTAAGCCGAGGGAAGTCTTGAAGAAAGGTTAATACCCACCCTTCAAACAGTCTGAAGGTTTCAACCTTCCCTCCATGCGATCAAAGCTGTTGGGTGTGTTTTTAGAGTAGAGGTTACATGTCCCATTTCTCCAGACTCAGAGCAGTATCCATAGGTACCCACAACTAAGTGACTTTCCCAGAGAGGGGGCTGAACCTAGGCTGGCTGACTTTATCTGACCACCCTTCATCTTCAAAGGAGAGAAATAAGGGCGTGGTCTGAGATATCCCTCTTCTTGGCCTGTGTAGGAGCTGACAAAGGTTACTGGGTGATGGAAATATCAAGAGTCACTATGTCCCATGAAATGGTACAGCGCTGTCTGCCCTGAAGGGAGCCCAGCTGCCCGTGTTTTTTGAATGCGTGAACACTACTGTCCCCCACAAGAAAGACAAACAGAAATTCCAACCTGCTGCCATCTTGACCTCCATGGCATTAATGTAGGGCCCTGTGACTGGTTGGCATTTGAGTTACCACCTGCTTTGACAGCGCTGACAACTGTGCTGTCAGAGTTCTGATGCAAGGACCCTGTATCTTTTAGAAGTAGTACATCATCCCACTCCAGGAATGAATTCTCTGTTGTAGGGAGAATGCCCTGGAGTATCTTGACTTGCTCATCCAATTCCAGATGATAGCACAGAGACTGGAGGGCCCAGGCACTTGCCAAAAGAAGAGGAGTATCAGATAGTAATGGACTCATGTCTTTGACTTCATTACAATTTCATGGGTGTGGACAGGTTCACTCTCAGGAATCTCTAGGGTATGGTACATCCTGGGCCAAAGCCTCTCATCTATCTCTTAAAAACCCCTCAGCTTTCTCTCCAGTTGTCAGCTTGTTCATTTTCTCCTCTTTTCCTCTTCATCCAGAGATGCAAAAGCTGCCTCAGTGACAATGATGAGCATGCAATGCACAGAGCTTCCCACACTGAACTCCCTCTGTATATGCTCAGCCATACATGGTCTCCTTTACCATGGTCCAGAAGCAATGGAGTGTCTGAATTGTAATGTCTGAGACTATGAGCCAAGTTGTTTCTTAAATAATTCCACTTGCCACATCAATTAAAAAGTCACACAGCACACTGTCTATTTTACAGAGATGCTAAAACACTTAAGGTAACACTCAGATTCCTAGATGGCAAAGACATAATTCTTATCTGGGCTTTCAGATTATCTGTTTTGCCACTGATCTGGGGAACATTCCAGAGGTCTGCTCCAGTCTGTCACACATGATTCTTTTCTACTTTCCAAGAGGAAAGAGCAGAAGGGTCTTTTCACTAATCCGCAGCAATTAAGCCAATCATAGCAAGAGTCAACAAACACTTTCCTAACACACCCACTGTGTGCTACATGGACACAGTTAGTTCATTTTTTCAAAAATGTGTGTCCTTTTCATTGCAGAGAGATGAAGCTGGAAAGCAGTTGTCAAGACAACCGGTACACCCCTCCCCCAACCCTTGCATCTATATGGGATCACATGGTAGTCAGTGGATGAGGGCAGATGTGATGTCTTCCACCTCTAGGTCTGGTCCTTAGAAACCCACCTTGACATTCCCAAAAGACTTTTCTCAGAGAAAATGAAGCACTACAGAAACCTTCCTCAGTTTCTCCCAGATGTTGCAGATAGAGCCATTCTAAACACATAGGAAATAAGTGAATTCGCTGTGCACCACACATGCTTTATAGTTTAGAACTGGGTCAAAAGGACAGTTCTATTGCTCTTTCTTTAAACATTGTTATATGTTGCTTCACAGAGAGACTTTTGGACACACTTGCGGGAGCTAATTCAGTCTGTGAGCCAGAGTCTCTGAATGAACAGCTCTATGCCCTTCCCACCTTAGGACAAGATGCAACACAAACAAAACCATAAATATGGAATGTTTTGAGCTACTGAAATTTTGGCTTTTTGTCCTAGCACCTAACATTATTTTAAATTAATGTGGACGACACAAAGTCCCAAGTTAGGCAGGAGAGCTTGGGTTCATTTGCAGCTGATGCATCTTTCTCATGGTTTGGTGGGAGTCAGGTAAGTGGTGTCTTGTAAGTCTTTGGAGCTAAGAGGGTCAAACACCTTCCAAACCAGAGAGGATGGAGACACAGTTAAATCTCCCAGGAGAGAGATGCATGGTAGATTCCCACAGGGAAGACACAGAACTGGCTCCCACAAGAGAGACACAGAGCAAGCAATTGTTACAGGGTATAAGTGAGAGAGTGAGAATGGGAGAACACTGTGGTGATACAGCATAGTCTCTTAAGAAAGGAAAGGAGACACAGGACTCTCAGGGGGAGACATACTTTCCCAAGAAGAGAGGAGACATAGTGGGGAGAACCAAGACTGAACTGAGGCTCAGAATGGTCCAGCTACTTCCAAACGCTCAAAGACTTAAGGATCAGCAAGAGGGTATGATATATGCTGATGTGAGAGGCCTGTCACCTTGGATTCAGTCAGGACAGTCCAGGAGCCTGCATTCTTAACTAGCAGCAATGGATGGTCTTTGAGAACAGCCAAGATCGGAGCATGACAGTGCCCTATCCCATCAGTGCCTTGTGACTCCCCTGGACTTTGAAGTTGTAATACCAGTAGAGATGTGTTTCGTGGAAAATATGCATCCTTCAAGGCTGAGGAGAGGGTTTCAGTCAGGGGGTAGTTTTTTGTTTGTTTGTTTTTTGTTTTGGGTTTTTTTTTGGGGGGGTTCTTTTCTTTTCTTTTTGGTTTGTTTTTTGAGATAAGGTTTCTCTGTGTAGCCCTGGCTGGACTTGCTTTGTAGACCAGAATGGCCTGGAACTCACAGAGATCTGCTTGCCTCTGCCTTCTCCTCGAGTGCTGGGATTACAGGCCTGCAACACTGCAGCAGGCTATAGGGGTGAATTATTTAAAATCAGACACTAGGAATGAGCTTTGGAGCTGGTCTTAGGCTAAGTTGGGTTAAAGAGGGGAGCGTCTTGGAATTAGAGGCACTTGGCACAGTATTTTCAACTTTTCTAGACATTCTAAAACCCTCACTACTGCTATGCGAACTCTTCCAGGGTCTTGTTACCAGGGCAGCAGTTCTGGTCTTCTGTTCTTACAATCCCTAACCTCAGCTCCTTACCTCCTCGGACTTCAGACCCCCAGGAAAATGGGTATCAGCCTCCTTGTACCTTCAGACCTTGTGGCACAGGGCTCTATCCCCAGCTCTTTTTCTCCCTGGAACCAAGAAGACCTAGATCTCTGATATAGATGCAGAATTTACAGCTGATATAAAGCCACACCTACGAGTCACTTAGCAAAGCCTAGACAACCAAACTGCCTGAACCTTACAGGAGAGTTCAAGGCCACCAGTCAGCAAGGACGGACAACAAACAGCCTGCTCTCACTGTTTTTTTTTTTCTCTCTCAAGAGGAGCTAGTCCCTCACCTGGGAAATATCTGTCCAAACTTGAGAGTCTGGGAGTGCAGCATTCAAAGCTATCCGAGACAGGATGACTCACAATCCAGCCTCAGTGCCAAGCAGGGCGGCTCGCAGTTAAGAATCTACTTGGTAGGATGCTCCATGCTCCTACCGGGTAAGAGTCAAGACTGGGGAAAAGCTCGAAGAAGACCAGAACGGCGCGCGGCGCGGCTGGAAAGACCCTCCTGGCGCGCACAACTGCAGCTGAGATAAAACTATCCGGCGCCTCCGCGGATGCCCTGGCTGTGCCCCCTCCCCCCCACCCATTACTCTCCCCAGCATGTAAAACCCCTCTGGGGCTTGCCTTTACCGGAGCCGTGCCTCTGGCGCAGAAGGACAGCCTGGCCCGACGGCGGCGACGCCGATGAAGAAGCAGCAGCAGCTGCTGCAACAGTTGTGGTGGCTGTGTGGGTCGCAGAGGTGGCGGCGGCGGCTGCAGCAGCGGCAGCAGCGGCGGCGGCTGCCTCCGGGACTCCTGATCCAGCGGGAGGGCTCCCAAGAGGTGGGTTCCTGTCGCCACGGCTGGGTTCGGAGGTGGTGCGGACAGCGGCACCTGCGTTGTTGGAGCTGACGGCGCTGGGGGCTCCGTGGCGGCGCGGGCCACTGCTCTGGATGTGGGACACCGCCTCCGCAGCCTGCATGTTGGGCGGCGTGAAGCGCGACAGCACGCGCAGCAACGCCTGGGCCTTGTGTTCTTGGGTGTCGTCGTCGCTGTAGTCCGAAACTCGACACTCATACACGCCTTCGTCCTGTAATCGTACGGCGGACAGCCGAAGCCGGTGTGAGATGTCATTGCCCTGGACACGCACGGTCTGTAATACAGCTGTGTTAGAGGCCTGACCAGCGGGCTCCACACCTGCTTTAGTGACGGGGGGGGGGGGGGGAGGGAGTGTCTTGGCTCCCCTGTCACTGTGTCAACTTTCTATAGCAGTCCAAACTTCCTAACACCCCAATACATCTCGCTGGTGGCAAGTGGCTCTCAGTTCTGTATGGACACCATGTTGCCCTGTGCGCCAGCCACCTCAACTCTCGCTTTACGGTTTCCCACATTTGCCCTTCTCAACTTGCACAAACTGTAAGCAGTTTCAGGCTGGGGTTTCTGTGACTCTAGCCAACCGCATCCTGCCTGCACCTTACTGCCCAAGCTAACTGTTCTGGGACATTCTAAATGTACCCGAAATCACACTCACTTTTACTTAGACCCCAGAGCAGCTGGAGTGTGTCCTTCTTGCCTGCAGCATGCAAAACTGCATCTGTCCTGCCCTGCCATTTACAGCTAGCCCTTGCCTTGCTTGGGACCGACCACTTAATATCCTTGACAAAGCCCTTTTTCTCGAGGACGTGGTGGAAATCTTAACACTCCAAAAACACAAGCCCTCACCTCAGAGCAGGACCCGGAAGAAGAGGCTTCAGTTGTTTCCAGGCTCTGCTATTTCCATGCTCCAACTTTACACACCCCATACCCCTTGATCGAAAAAGATACCCCTCCCCAAGAACCTACAACAATGTCATTAGAGGAGGAGATGTTGAGTAGAGGGTGCTCCTGGCACCCCTGGTAAGTGTGCAGGATGGGGCAAAAAAAAAAAAAAAAAAAAAGGTGGGAAGCTGGGGTGCCACTCAGCTTTAGCTAGAACCCCTGTAGAAATGAGAACAGAGGTGTGCTCTTCGATCCTGAGAGCACCGTGCAGAGGAAGGAGAGTTTTACTGGTGAGTGCCCAGCAGGGCTGTGGGACTCAGATTTGGACCCTTGGTTTACACAAAAGACAACCTAATCCCTCTACCGGCGACAGATGGCACCCAGATATGCAAAGCAACCCTGTGGTAGTTGGGCTCCGCACCCAGAGGCTTTCTAAAGGGGAGGGAGCGCAAAGCGGCCAGAAGGGGTCTCCCGCAGCCCAAGCTCCACACTTACACTGATTTTAGTTGCATCCTTATTTGTTACCTAAAATGCAGAGAGGGAGAAAAGGGAGGGAGAGAGAGGGGGAAGGAAGGAAGGAAGGAAGGAAGGGGGAGGGAGGGGGGGGGGAAGGGAAGGAGGGAGGGAGGGAGGGAGGGAGGGAGGGAGGGAGGGAGGGAGAGACACAGAGATTAAGCCGTGGCATTTTTGTGCATGGTGAACTCTGACCTGGCTTTGACAAGAGGACTTTCCTTAGCTGGGCTGAGAGCTGAAGAGCCTGGGGTGTGGCATTGTGGAGGGCACCAAATACGTTAGGATTCCCGCAGTGTGCCGAGAGAGAAGCAGGTTGAGGGCCAAAACTGGTCAGCTAAGGAGGAGTGGCTACACCTGTCTGCTTGGGAGAGTGGGGTGCTGGACGTCATAAGGGTGCAGGGGGAGCCTCAGCTCCTACACACTTCCTCTAAATTCTCCACTCAATTTTGGAACTGTGAAAAACTGGATGGAGGGTCCACCACGGAGGCCCTGACAAGCCGGTGTGTGTGGATATGTGCCAGAGGAAGATGAGAACAGAAACTCTGGGTGTAGGTAGGTGAGTGTGTGCGCGCTAGTGTGGGTTGTGGGGCAGATTGCAAGGTTTTCCAGCCACCGAGGGTGGGGCAGCCCTTCAGATACTGTGGAAGCTGGAGGTGACCTGCTGGCTACTCCGCACTGACAGCCAGTTCTCTAACGCGTAAATGCAATCTGAAGGAGCTGAACTCCTTGGCCTTGAGCCCTGGAACCCTAGAGTGGCAGAGGAGAGTCTGGTAGAACCAAGTGATTGTCTTTCGTAAGCCAGCACCCATCAGAGTATAGTCCTAAGGCCAGCCAGCAAAAGCAGGAGAATTGGACCAGGTGTGGGTTTTCAAGGGCTGGGCGTGAAGGGAGTTCCCGCAGGTTGCAGAGAGGGGAAAAGTGTAAAAAACTGACAGCACCTGGGGACAGCCGCTCACTTTGACAACGCTATGGAGATGCAGAGGATGGGAGATCGCTGAGGGACAGGGCGGCGCCCTGTGGAGGTAACCCTCACTTCCCCTGGAGGAAGCAGGGTAAGCAGGGTTGCCCCGTGGGCAGCGGATTACCTTGGTCCGGGCGCCCGGCACGCTGAGCGCCAGCTCGTGTAGCAGTTCCCGGGGAGGCTCCTTGAGGTACCACCACTGAATCTCCAGCGAGTACGAGGTGGCTCCGCTGGCCCGGAAAGCGCAGGGCATTTCGATGTCGTCTCCCTCCCGCACGGTTACATCTTTGGGGACTTCGGTGAATGTGGCTGGGGGCGGGAGAGAGAGGCGTGACCAGCTGAAAGGCGGAGGGGCTTGGGGCAACTCGAGGCTGAGGCGGTGAGTCCCCTGCTCTCCGGGCTTGGGCTCCCCCAACTCCTGCCCCCAGCTACTCCGCAGCTTTGGGCGGGAGGCTCCAGCAAAGTTCAGGGAGCAGCTGCGAAGGCGGCAGCGGGGACCCGCCACTTGCTGCAGGCTGCTTCCCTCTGGGCCGTGCAGGGTGCAGGGAAGGGAGGGCCGCAGCCCCGGAGCCGGGTAGGGGCGCGCCAACTCCCGCTGGCTGCAGGCCTCCTATGCCTAGCAGGACTCCCTGAGCGGACGCCAAAGCCGCGGCGACCCTCATCTGCCCTCGTGCTCCTACCCACTCCCAGCCTGGGCTGCACACCCCAGACCGCTCGCTGGAGACCTCGAAGCCCGCCGCTCCCTTTCCTCCAACGCGGTGGCCAAGCTAGCAGACTTCCGTGGCCTTAGCAAAGGGTCCCCAGAGCCCACCGCAGCCGCGAACTTCCCGCGCTCACCGTCGGCGACGAAGAGCAGCAGGCCGTGCAGCAGCAGAGGCGGCAGGTATCCGAGGGCTCCGAGCCGGTTCCGCTGTTCCATCTCCCGCAGGGTTGCGGCGGCGGCGGCGGGGGGGCTCGGCGCGGAGAGGCAGCGGCGGCGGCGGCAGCGTGGGCTCGGCTCCGGCTGGAGCTCCGGCTAGGACGCCTCGGAGCCTGCCATGGTCCCGCACGGCGCCCCCTCCCCTGGCCGCCGGCGGCCGCCAATCAGCCGGGCTTCCCTGCGGGCTGGCCCGGCGCGGCTCCGGCGGGAGGCGCTACGCGAGGGGCGCAGGAGGCGAGGTCCCGCCAGGAGGACCTCCTTCAGTCCAGTGGTCCACGGGAGGCTGAGGGTCTGCAGTTCAGTCTCTGGCCGGCGGGCCGGACAACGGCCGGGCTGTGCCAGGACCCATCTTTGGATAACGGAGTGAGCGCCCAAGAGCCACCAGAGTCTGCCTCCAGGTCTACTGGCTAGGCTCCCGACTGCCACCTCCTCCGACTCCAGCCGAGCTCTCCCGTCGCCGCCGCCGCCGCCGCCGCCGCCGCCCCCGCCGGTTTCTCCGCGGCTTTTTCCTCCAAGCGAGTGGGCGCTCAGCCGCGGCGCGCAGACCTAGCGTCCGACCCAGCGCAGCGCGGGGAGAGCCGGTCCAGCGTGGCCGACCCGCAGCCAGAGAGGCGGGGAGAGGGGGAGGGAAGAGGAAGGGAGGGGCGGTCAGTGGCTGGGCGACCAGCAGCCTCCTCCACGGCACCACCCGGCCCTCCTCTCGGAGTCCACCCCGCCCCCCCCCCCCCCCCCCCCCCTTCCTCCGCGGGGTCCCTCGGAGCGGCCACAGTCTCTCTGGCTGCAGCGCAGCCCCACCCGGCGTCTGCTTTGCTTAGGGGGTCCTCCCACCCAAACTCCTGGTTTCTTCCCAGTGTCCATCTCTCGAGACAGCTGCTCCACCCTGCTTTCCGTGTGTCCCCCATCCTCTCCGCAGCCCCCAGGGCCTCAACTCCTTACCCGGGTTTAGACTACGAGCCACACCACTCTTTGGCCCAGACCTGGGCCATGGCGGGTGGGTGAGCGCCAGGGGACTGCGAGAAAGGTGGAGCGCTGTGTCTGGCCAGAAGCTAGGCCAGGTGACAGGGAAGGAAGACGAGGAGTCCGCAGTGTGCGAGCAAGAACTGAGCGCCCGGCGCAGGGCGAGCAGGTGCCTGTGGCGCGGAGCGCACCAGAGAGCCAGCAGGCAGTGGCCGTGAGTGACGGCAGAGGCGGTGCGGGTGGGGTGGAATGGGGAGAGCCGGCACGACTCAGGGCTACAGAGATTTCTGGGTGGGGGAGGTCTTCCTGTCCAGGGAGAGCCAGTCCCTGTGTCCTTGCAAGCAAGCTCTTCCTGGCCATTTTCCCCTCTGCACCCATTGCAAAGGGGTTCCCCAAGGTGGAAAGAGAGGTGGAGTACACAGACTCCTTCCAGAACCCATCCCCCACTCTTGCATCTTCTGTGTCCCTGAACCTTCCCTGGCCTTCACCTAGAATGGGCTGTCTCTTCAGCCACCTAGAGAGTGCAGTCTGCCTTTCTAAGGGGGATATGGGTGGATGAAGTAGTTCAGTCCAGGCACAAGGGCTTGGGCGAGTCCTGGAGCTCTCCTTGGTCTCTTCTCTTTCTTTTCTTCAACCAGTGGTCTGGTCTGGCCTGATCTCTTAGCTTTATCTGAAGTTATGGTGGCACATTCCAGTGAACTTCCCCTGCAAGCTGTCCCTAGTCCCCTCGTGTCTCTGCCAGTCAACTAACAGCTAGTGAAGAGGGAAGCCTGGAAGGGAAATAATTTTCCAGTGGCCACCCTGCTCTAATACAAGAGGGACACAGTTCCAGAGAAGAGACCTTTCTAAGCTTTGCTCTCACCAGTGAGGACCGTGGACAGTACATCCTTCTGCCCCTCCTCTTCCTTATGTAACAGATGGGTCGTTTGCACTCTCTGGTCACTCACTGATGCTCTGTGAACAGGAGACCTTTTAGACCTTTCCTCCAGGGTCCCCATTGCCTGCTCCCTCTACATGTCACAACCATTGGCCTGCCTCCCCCAGACATTCCACCAGTTCTCAGAATCCACTGTAAGTTTGTGAATGCAAGACCTTGCAGGCCCCTTGCTGTCCTCAGCTTTTGAAGGGAGGGGGCAGACTTGCATCATGCTACGCAGATGCAGGACCATAGTAGAATTCTAAGGGAGCAGTTCGGGGAACTGATTCCAAACAGGGGTCTGGTGGAATGAACTAGCCCACTGTACATTGGTTTGTTTGGAGAGGTAATGAGCTTCTCTCCCAGTAACAGTTTCAACCAAGAACTGATGGCCAGTAACCAGGCTTGCCTGAGGGAATTCCTGTAGCTAGAGGGAAGTACACCTTGGTCACTCTGCAGGTTTGTGGATTCTTTCCACCCAGTCACTCTGGTGGGACATTTTTGCCTGGGACTTAGGTTGCTGTTACTATAAGTAGAATAATAATAATAATAATAATAATAACTGCCATCATGTGATTATCACACTGCAGACACTGGCTGCACACTTTCTATATATGAGTTCTCGGCATCACAACTGAGAATTCTTTCTCAAACCTAAGTCAGATCACTCTTCCCCTACTCACAAGCCTACAGTGACTGCCACTCCATACAGCACAAATACCAGTGGCCTCTCAAGGTCAAAAGATTGCCTTCTCAATCTTTACCTTCCCCTCCCTCTGCCTTCTCCTCCTTTCTGTCCTCCCTCTGGCTCCTCCCGGGACAATGTTCTTCCTTCTGCAATGCAACACACTAGACCACCCTAGAGCCTTGCGTCAGCTGTCCTTCCCAGCTAGGATGTACCTTTCTGGGTTTTCTTAGTTAGTGCCACCCACCTTTAACTTTTGTTTAACTCTGCAGTCTGCAGCTCCCCTTCTCCAGCATGCCTTGCTTATCCTTAAGGTCTTTTCCTTCAAAATAACCACCTTCCATCATATGATTCAATGTCTTCCCTGCTCAAAGTCTGCAAAACTTTGCTTTGGTCACTGGGGCATCTCTGGCACAGTACGGGTTCAGCTCTTGTTATGGATGAGATTGTTGAGGCTCCTCCGAGAGCTTGTGGAACTTCCCTAAGGTCTCACAGCTAGTAAGTGGCCACATGTGGCTTCAGCCCAGGCCTTTCTTACTTTGGTTTCTTTTTTATTCTTTTTTCTTTTCTTTTCTTGTAACCTATGCACCCTCCTTCTAAGTCAAGGGAACCTGGAGTTCCTGAGCAGAAGCAGAGCTACCTATTCAGTTCTATGTTGACAGGAGCTGCTTGCCTGCCCATGTAGAATGGAGGGCAGAACAGGGCCTTCCTCACTGCCTTTAGCATCTAGATGTGCTAATACCAGCAATGAACTGGGAGCACCTTCAGGAACACTGAAGAAGGCCCTTAGCCCTCCTTTGCTGGGATTTCCTGGCATAGGGACTCTTCAATTCCTACTTTGTTCTGGCCTGCCTACCAACTCTGAAAAGGAAACCAGATTCTTCCTGGTGGGCCAGAGCACTAAAGCAGGCACCTGTGATGGAGTATGCATATGAGTCTTCTCTAAGGGATTGCTTCTCTCTGGGGACACAGCCACTCAGCCCTACCCACTGCAAATATCCCTTCAGCACCTGCAGAGATGCCTTGCTGGCATTCATCCTGTTTTATGAGGAAAGCAGTTTCCTGTGATGAATCTGTGAGAACATTTCATGAGTGTTTGGTTGCCCACCATGATTGCTCACTGGTGAGGTGAAGAATTACAAGGTTCTCCACCCTCTCTACCTCTGTAATCACATATTTGAAGTGCCTGTGGGGCCACAGTGTCCAAGGGCCTCCCATAAAGCCCTTGGTGGCCTTTGAACTGGCTGTGTCCTTAGGCTTGTTCCTTCCAGACTTGGCTGGTGTGCCTTGAGTGCCCTTTCACACTCACCCTGATTATCTCTGCTATTGTTAGGCTATGAGTTGGGCATGAAGCCCTTTCCGGTACTGTTCTGTGGACAGTGATCTGTTCCAGTCACTTGTGAAAATATCTTTAGCACAGCTTTAGCAAATGTGCCTCCTGGAGTCACTTGCAAAGCTTATTTATTTTAATGTTCCATCTTGGAGTTGAGGAGTTGAGGTTTCGGTATTCCTGTCTCCACTGACCTTTCCTGTTCACGTGCACCAACATTGATTTTGGGTAATGTGTTTTGTTTTTAAGATGCAGCCCATCTATAAACTTTTCTATCAATAACTCCAGCACACTCTGGGTACCAGACAGCTTAAAGCAAAATATCAGATTTATGGGGACTTTTATTTTTGGGCAATGTAGTCATCCATTTGCCAACAGTGTCAGGGAATAAAGGCTTGGAGTCTGGCCCAAGGAGATCCCACTGCAAGGACACACATCAGGTCAGGATCCACAAGGATTGCTAAGGGAGTGAAAGAGTTAGGGTGATTGCTTCTGAGCCAGGAGTGGGGCAAGTAAACAAACAAAAAACTTTAATTTTGTGTTCCTCTTTCCCTCTTCTATCCAGCCTTATGACCAACTTAGAGTGTCAGATTCCAGGAGGAGGACAGCCCCTGAATTGCATGAGGATGAGAGAGGCTCTTGTATGCTCATCAGAGCTTAGGTTGTCACAGAGGCTACCTGGCCCTGTCCTTGTACCTTCAGGAAAGCAGGCACAGCTTTCAGTCTGGGCTCAGCTGGTTTACAGAAGGAATCCACAGCTGTCAGGCCCCAGGGCCTGGCCTGCCACTGCTCACTGCACCAGTAGTTCCCCTTGTTGGGTCTATAGAACCGGGGCTGTTTGTGAGTCTATTAGAGCCACAGTTTACTGGGCTTAGCAACTGTCTAGAGAAGGGGTATGATGAGGGAGAATCCCAGGGCAGAATCTACTTTACTACTTTCTAGCATTGAGGACACTTAAGAGAGTAAGACATAGAGGGAGCCCCCTTCAAGGCCTCTGGACTTAAGTGAGGGGTGCTGGTGTGGGAGAGGGGAGAGGCAGTTGCTCCAGTTTTTAAAGTTAGAGTCTCAGAGCTAAGGCTGGCCTTGATCTTGCTATCCTTTTGCCTCAGCTGCCTGAGTTCTTGGCTCAAAGTTTTGCAACCCCATACTTGGTGAGAAAGGGGCTGAAAGCTGCTAAGCTAGGCCCTAGTGGCTGGTGTGAGAGTTGGTGGCCCCTTGGGCAGGCTTCCTGGCAGAGTTGAGCCTGTGTGCGGAGCATGAGTGAAATGGGCTCATGTG